TTTTTTTCTTTTTGTGGATGACAATGTAATACTTTTCCGATAAATGAATAAATTGTAATTTTTTCTTGTAAAAGTGTTAAGTTTTTATCCCGAGTGTAATTTCTCCTTTTCTTTCTCAAAACTTAGTATCGAAAAACTTAAACTATCGACATTACATAGAATTAATACTCAATTTGATTTTTTTTTTTTGGAATTTCAGACAGGTCGCAATTTTTCCTTATAGACCTCGTCGAGAGGAAGAAGAAAGGTCCTCTTGACCAACCCCCTATCTCCAACCGTTTAGCCGATCTAATTCATTTTTTGTTTTCAAAAATCAAAAATGACCTGTATTAGTGAAACGAAGAGAGATAGAGGTATGGCGAAGAGGACCTTTTGTGTTCCTTTCGTGGAGCTGCATAAAAAAGGGTAGGTCTAGGAATGTTTAGAGTTTTTTTTTTCTGAAAATTTTTTTAAGTTCCGACTTCCTCTAAAAGTGGAAAAAAATGAGAGTGCTGAAAAAATCGGAACTATCGCTAGACTATATATAAAAATTGGATTTTTCATAAATCATGACACAGTTACAAACACACTTTCCACGCGTATCTCTGGTCAAGTAGGTACGGGGGTCCAGGGGGCGAAGCCCCCTGATCGGGGTCCAGGGGGCGAAGCCCCATGGTCAGGGGGGGTTCGGGGGGGGCGAAGCCCCCCCTGATTATAAAAAAAGAAACATTTGAATTCGCCAAAGACGACCAGAACGACGACTATGGTCATTGTAGACACACGCACGCACGCGCGCGCGCGCACACACACACACACACACACACACACACACACACACACACACACACACACACACACACACACACACACACAGAGGAAGGGAATTACCTTGATCTTTGGCTTCAACCTCAACCTGCTGCTGCTGCTGCCGCTGTTGGTCCAAGACGTGTGGAGGGAAAGGTGCGCGCATCATCCAAGCCGGTTGTGCCTCTCGCTCGATGACGTGGAAGATGAGGCTTTCGCACAAAGACAAGAAACGGATGATTCAATGCAATCCGTCATTTGTCCTTGTGTGCAAAAGCCGCCATCCATCGTGCTGCCAAATCGAAAACGCTCATGTTGATCCGCTGCAGGTGGATGCTTCTCGAGAATGCTGTCGCGCGCGATGAGTCAAAGCGCGAGCCGCACGGCAAGGAAAAGAAAAAGAACGAATTATCAAGTACATTCGTTCTCTTTCTTTCCCTTGTCGCGCACACTCGCCGAGATAATCCCTCGCTGCTGCTGCTGCTCGTCCGGAGAGTCTTCTCGGGGGAACCTGAAAAAAAAAGATAAGCAATTAGTGACAGATTGAAAGAGCGCGTTTGTATGTCAAAATGTCGCCGCTCTTTGGCAAGTCCTCGTTCGACGAAGCGGTGCATGCGACGAGTTCTGTGGCAAAAAGCAAGATATTGATGTTCAATTCCGACATTCGATACCTTGCTTCTTCCCGCAGACCTCACCGCGTAAAGATATTCCCTCGCTGCTGCTGGATG